TCTAAACAAGTAAGATAAAACAAATACATGGGGTGGGAAAAATTGTTTTAAAATACCATTTATCTAGGGCTTTGTATTTTCAAAGAATACTCATCATACCATTGTATGAAGCTCATTATGCATTTTTCAGCAAAGAAAGCTAGGAGGCTGCCTAGTATAGTGGAAACTGCCCAAGGCTTAAAAATAAAAGGATGAGATTTGAATATAGGATTGGCCAATAATATTAAGACAAGGTATTTTACTTTCTGGGCCTAATTTCATTGTAAAATTAAGGAGATGAAATAAATGATGTTTTAGGTTTTCCTCAGATATTATCAAATAGGGTTATACCAGGTCATCCTGACATAAAATCTGATTCTTTCTTAACTATACCATTCTGGAAATACCAATACCCAAAAACTGGTATAAGTTAGCAACATTAATTTCCCAATGTGGAAACCAATTATCATTCAAATACATTTCCTGTTTTTCTCTTATCTGTTTATTTATTTGTTTTTACTCGAAGGGAAACCAATAGGGCATATATATTTAAAGTTACAAATTGAAAGATGGTAAATGAAACTAAATAGTGTAGCAAACACATTTTCTGGACTAATTCTCCCAATTCCCACTTTTAAAAAGGTAAAATGCCCAGAGAAAAACTGGTGCATCCCCTTATGGTTCTACAACTAATCTTAAAGGGTTGAAGGGTTATTTTTTTCTAATGCTATAGTTCAAGCCTCCACTGTTATGCCTCTACCTGATTGCAGTCAGTGATATCAATTAGTCAGTCAGCTTTAGTTTTTTTGAAAGAAATATGGATCGTAGAAAGAAATATAAAGTGGTAGAGTAAGAACAACTGGCATAAAAGAGCCCCAACCCTTAAGATCTATGACACACTCCCATATAGAAAATAGAAGACAAGCTCAAACTTGGAGAACACTTATGATAAAGCAGTAAAAGCACTTGAAAATCCTCTTATTGGAGTCCTCAAGATATTCACCTTATGTGTGGTATAGTTTTCTACCCTTTGTGTTCTTTGTAGATCATTTAATCTGTCTTTGACTCCTTTTGTATGCAGTGCTTTAAAAAGAAGTATGTCTTTTTTGATGAAAAAGCAATTAATATATTTCTGAAACATTAATAGGTGACGCCATACTCAAGATTAAAAAAGTATTGCATTGATTTTCTTATTTGATTGACAGGCACTCTCCTATTTTGCCCATCTATATAGTTTCCTTGACAGAATTAGGTTGCTCTGGCCAGAGAAAAGAATAATTCTCTTCCCAACTTTAGTTTAATAAGTTGCATCTCTTGACACATTACCTAATAATCAAGCCAATGACTGAAGAAGACGTTCACAACAGTCTTTTTTAGAGGTGACAAAAAAAAGTATGTCTTGATTTAGTGAACTGCTCATCTCAAAAGAAAGATGAACATGAGATAAGCAAAAAACGCAGGTAGCAATGATGTGAATGAACTAAGTATCTGAGAGGAACAGGAGGTATCTAATATTGACTGGCCCTAAGGAGAGTCAGTAATACTGAAGCAGCCAATGAAATGTAAGCAGAGACCATCAAACATCACAGAGTGAAGGACATCCTTTATCTGATAGACAATTTTCTACTGAAAACAGTACAGAGGCTTGTATAAGAACTAGAGTCATATCATTCTTGTTGTAGGACACCCGGGCTCAGTACTAATTCACAAAGAATACAACTTAAGGACCAAGGATAAAGTCAGCCACTACACTATAATTTAGAGAATTTTATTTGGGGTTAACCAATCAGGATGAGAGAATGGGCTTAGGAGTCAAAAGAGCATAGGTCTTCTTTTCACAGTGATGAGTAAAGAGTCTTAGAAGGTTGGATATAGTTTAAAGACCAATGACATGGACATACAGACATTTGATATATGCTCCTATGTCTGTCACTGATAGCACTAACTCTTCTACTGTGGCAAAGTCAATTCTATATGCCTCAGTTTTCTTATCTGGAAAACAATGGAATTGTATTAGATTTATTTTTGTAATTTTGCATCAGTATATCTATGCAATGCATGTAGTTATCTCCCCTCCATCACGTTTCTTCAGAGGGAATTTCTTTCTGTTTTAATTTGATAAATAATTATATTCTTTATTTTCCAATCTAATAACCATGTTCAAGTTATTACAGCAGATATGGGAGAAATATCCATATGTGTTATTTAGTAATTAATTATGACTGTTATTCAACATCTCAGACCTTTTAGTTATATTTAAATGAAAGCATACCATTATTCTAGAATTTAATCCAAATGATTTACTTTATTTTATACAAATAAAATGCTGTGAAATGTCACTGCACATTTTTCTTCTAATTGAAGTTTTCTCTCTTCCCCTCTAAACCATTCTTGTAGGCTTGGAATCAGTCCAACAAACAGTTTCTCTTCTCCATTCTACCATCACAAATCTTCAAGATTAAGGAACAGTGGTTGTGAACAATGAAGGCTTAAAGCCCTGATATTCTTGTCAGAGAAATGAGTTAAACAAGAACATATTCTAATTATTTATCTTAGTTGAGAGATGAAAAACTGATGTAGTAGAATACTCAACATCTATGAGAACATATAAGGGATAAAAATATTCCAGGAAAAAATGTTACCACTCAAATTGCCCAGTTTTGTTTATAAATTTCACTAAAAGAATCCATTCCTCCCTTCTTTCTCAGTATGAAAAGATTCAACTAAGACCATGGACACAATACAACAAAATTAATATCCAGAAAAGGGAAAAATGCTTTTTCTCATCCTTTGTCTACTTTAAAGTTAAATATTTTGGTTCCTTACCCGTAACCTTGAAAAACTATTGAATTGAGTTCAATATTTCTAAATATAAATCCAATTAAGTATCAAATATTGGATTTCTTGATACTATAAGATCCAGAAATTAACTAGTTTGCTTTTGGTTCTTCCCTCCTCAATTTTTTGTTTGCTTGTTTTGTTTTGAGCTACTATATTGATATACAGGCATAGCCTAAGAGAAGTGTGGATGTATTTCTTCCAGGAGAACCAAATGATATTTTCTTTGAGCAAGATCCATCCTTACCAAACAAAAACAAACACACAATAAATTTAAGGATCTAGATATTTGGGGAGAAGAGGAGGTGATTAATTATTAGAGAAAAAAACTGGATTGGAGAGAAAGAGTATTATTGGCAGAGAATCAGTTGAACAGCAGTTTAGCCTCTGACTATGAAACCATTTAGCACTCACGCCTTCAAAATTGAATGGGGTTTTATCATTACTACACACACTTGAGGCATGAAATCATGGCATTGCATTTTCCTCATTAGAACTGCTGTTTCCATAATACACTCATTTAAAGCAATTTTAGTAATTATCTAACACATGACATAATCTATTTGAATAATTTTTGTCATTTCAACAAATTTGTTTTGGACATTTTTTAAGGGGTGAAGGAACAATGAGGAAATGAACATTAAACTGATTAGGTATATTGACTTAATGGATAATAAGTAGAGAATTTCATTTGGAATTTTTTTTCTTATTTAATACTTCCAAATAGTTTGTAAAAGCAGCAGAAAGATATCTTATAGAAATCATAGATTCAAAGAGAAGTGAACCATAATGAATAACATTTCCATAGATTAAATGACAGTTGGGGCACGCAATTAGCATAGACTTAATTAGAGTTTGAATATGTGTGAATAATTAATAAGTTCATTGAAGCTGGGTAAAAGTCTCAGTCATTCATTAAGTGACATGAAGTGCCAACCAACATTATGAGATGCTATTCTAACTTTTTAAAAATTATTACAGTTTTCAGAATATCATTTCTCATCAATGACTATGCAATTAAATGTGGGGGTAGGGCATGGAGAGAGAGAGAGTATTAAAATGTTGTCTTGAAGGAAGATGTAAAATACATGAAGAAGGAGAACTGATGTGTCTGAGTGGTAGGTACAGCTACTATACCATTGCTGGAGAAGGAAAAGTAGAAGAAATTTATAGAACAAGAATATCTGAAACTATATATTTTTCCCAGATGAGTTGAATATGGGGTACTTAAAGTTTACCCTAAAATGAAGGAATTGTCCTAATTACTTTTCAATCTACGTAATTTCCTCTGTTTTCTTTATTATTTCCAACTGTCTCTTCACAAAGTCAAAAGAACAAGTTTAGTTTTGTTTTCTTCATCAGTAAAGAATTCTGTTGTCTGTCATTTAGCATCAGATAAAACAAAACCACATGTAAACAAACACTTTTGTCATTATTTCAAGTAGTTGATATGGCAAGATTCTGACACAGCCTTAGTCATGTCTCATTTTGGTGTTTTGTTTTGTTTTGTTTTGTTTTTTAGTTTAGAGATGTGGCAAAATATACTCTATTCTCATTTTTCAGCAGAGTCTAGAACAAATGCTTTTTAAAGGGCATCATAAATAGATTTGTGTCTAAATAAATACCTTTGCACAAATGGAGCACAATTGAGATCTTTCTTGAATGATTCAGGATTTAAAATACCTAGGCTCCAAGAAAATTCTATTCTTTATTATATCAATACAGATCTTTTCAAAGATCTCTGGGGTACATTTAAGTTGTTAGGATTAGAAAGTGGAAACTTCTGACTATTGAAGACAGAAATATGAACAGCTAAATGGGCTCAGCAGTCCTCACAATTTCCTCTCTGCTTCTTTAAAGGACAGTTGTCTCAATTCAGTATTTCTATTCCCTTCTATCTTTTAATACTGTTTTCATTTTTCTACTCCTCCATTGTTTTCATGTTGACCTTAAGCCTTCTTTATCCAGACTGGCAACAAGCATATATTAGGACTTATTATGAAAAGTGGAAAGAAAAAAAAAAACCACTTCCATTTAACTATGGCTTCATATAAGTGCTTTACTTTTATTTATTTTTTCCTATTATATGTGATTAAAATATTGTACTCAATATCCATTTCAATCCAACTCAAATCAGAAGGAGATCTAAAGCATTTTCTCCTTTGTGGGATCTTTTTCTCCAGGATTATGCTGAGAAGAAGAACACAATAGCAAAGGCTCTAGAAGACCTAAAGGCCAATTTCTACTGTGAACTCTGTGACAAACAATATTACAAACATCAAGAGTTTGACAATCATATTAATTCATATGACCATGCTCACAAGCAGGTAAGTAATAGATGTATGAGACTAAAATAAATATTCTAAAAATGTTTGACATTTCAAAACATTGATAATCATTTGTTTCTTTGAACTTCTAGGGTGTGTGTGTGTGTGTGTGTGTGTATGTGTGTGTGTGTGTATACATACACATATTATATATACAATATATTTCTTTGATGGAAAATCTTGAGAAATATTTTGAAAAAAAGAAAATTTCAATCTGCAATGATGTTCTGGTAATTCCTAGCAATAGCCATTGAAGAAGGAATGGAAGAGACTGGCTAAAAAATAGCCAACAAAAAAATACAATATTTCTGGAGTGCAGTTACATCTCGTGAGCAGTAGTATTCTGAAAATAATTTATCATATGAGGTGAAGATGGTACATTTCCATAAATCCAATATTTTAAAAAATGTATCTAGTCAATTATATTGTCAAATGAAAATAGATTTTGATCATGGCTTTTACTGAAAATGCCTTATGTTAGCATTACTATCGAAAAATGAAAGAAAAATACCTTAGAATTCTAAAGAACAGCCAAAATTCTTTAGTTTTATGATCTCTAACTATGAACATCATTTAGGACATTTTAATATCAATTTTCTCTTCACTATCCTTCATAAACTATCATATTGAGTTTAGTTCCAGTGCTAAATGACGGTATCCCCTAAATTATGTTTCAAAACAATGATTGTGATTGGTGAAAACTGAATAACAGATATACTATTACCTACAGTTACTTTGTTGATTTCAACACAAATTCATTTTGTGATTATATGTTTTGAAATTATAGCTGTCCTTGTTTATTTTATGTGTGTATCCTTATTCTTACTTCTCAAAATTGTTCCCAGTTTTGGAAACAATTGGGACCTTCCCAATTAGTTGTCCAGAACATTTCAAAAATCCATCCCCTTCTCTCCATCTACCTGGCCACCATATTACTTCAAGCCCTCATTACCTGGCCTATTACACTAGCCTCTTAATTAGTCTCCTTGCTTTTAGTCTCTCTCAGCTCCAATCCAGCCTTCCATAGAACTGTGAAAAGTAATAATCCTAAAGCATAGATCTAGACAATGTCACTTCCTTACTCAATAAACTCTAGTGCTTCCTTCTTATATCTAGGAACCTGGATTTAACTTTTTTGCTGTTGTTCAGTCATTTCCAACTCTTTGTGACCCCATGTGGGATTTTCTTGGCAAAGATACTGGATGAGGAAACTGAGACAAACAGGGTTAGGTGATTTTCGCAGAGTTACATAGCTAGTGTCTGCAGTCACACTTGAACTCATGAAGATGAGCCTTCCTGAGTCTCAGCCAAGTGCTCCATGCACTGCACCACCTAACTGACCTAGCTCCAAAATAATCATGTCACCAAAAGCTAACAATCATCAAGGAGAAAAATATTTACTCTAAGGAACATGTCTTCTTTTAAGTTATATTGCAATCAGTTAGGTCCATGGTTTCTACATCAACAAAATCGTTTGTTTATGGCTCTAAGGCTATTTCTTCATTTGTGCTTATATGTATATAATTGCTTAATTATAGTTAAAATATTCTAAATATAATATATATTAGAGTCAACTAACCAGGACCCTTATACCTGGTAATATAGTAAGAATAGTCAAAAATTATTCCCCAGATGGTTTGGTAACTGTTATTCTAGCATGGCTGTAAGTTTCTCCTGACTTAAGGTTATATTGAAAGTTAAAGACTGAGGGAGGGTGTGACCTCCCACAGGCTCACCAGATATCTTCACATTCTTTCTTTTGGACAATGAACATTTACTGAGCTTGTATGTTGTTTGAGATACTCCTGTGAGGAGAACTTCCCTAGCTATGACTGAAAAAAATGGATTTTGTTAAATTTTTTCTTTATTAATTACAAAAAAAATCACTTCATTTCCTTATGTTTCAGGAGCATCACTGGAATCTTCTTTTAGAAAATCATGTTATTATTCAGTCTGTTTTTAATTATTATTTAAAATAGTCTATGGTATCACACAATCCTCACTCACTTTGTGTCCCATCTCCATGTCTAAGTCTATTTGCTCCAAATAATAGTATGTTTTTTAATGTGCATAAAGTGCACAAATTATTCTATCAACCCTTAAATGGTTTATAATTATAGTTTATTTAAAAGCCTACAGAGAGATAGCATCTTATTCACAAAAACATCCTATTAGAGACAAATAAATTACACTTTAGTTGCAGACTATTTTTTAAGCTGCACATACTCTAGTACTTAATTTGTGATAAAAATGCCTTTAGGAAATAATGTACAAGTAAGAGTTGTAAATGAGGCATATTTATTAGGAAAGGGAAAGATGCATTGAAAGTAAAACTACATTTTCATTGCACTTCATTATCTTTCAATATTCTTCAAGAATAGTAAATAGCATCTCTTCTGAATATTCTATAGATGATAGATTTAGCAATTTTTCAATGGTACATCTTCTTTGTTTCAGAGAAATCATACATATTATACATTGTTGGTAAACCATTATATTTCATTACTAATTCACCACATTTTATTTCATTGGTAGTATTGCATAGGGAAATCCTAAATTCAAATGATTATAAATTATTTAAGTGTTTCTATGACATGCATAAATCATTGAAATTCAACCCAAATTCTATCATAAAATACTACCCTTTGCAAACAGGTAGTGAGTTCTTCACAAGGGAAAAAAGTTTACCTTCAACTACTTTCAAACTGATTCACTTTCCTCTGAAGTAAAGCATCAGTGGATCCATTCACCTGGCAACTTACAGGCAATTCAAAGTTATTTTCACTACAAGAAATTTGCCACACTGATGGTATCTTGCAATATTTGGACATGTGAGAAAATGGAAAAGGGAAAGATTGCCTTAGTGCAGCTGCTTCACAAAATTCTTGACTTTTTTCTCTTCAAAAAGCTTTGATGTGACTGAAATACCTCCCACAGGGCATTAAGTGACCTTTATCCAGAAGTTCAAGGTTTAGTGCATTGCCCTGTTTTGTTCTGCCAAGGAGGAAGCCAAGATCATGTCTTTTTTTTTTCTTCAGAATCAAGCATATTTTTGGAGACTTACATACGGAAATGGAGTGATTTTACAGAAAAGTGTTTTGCAATCTAAACAAATAGATCAGAATTTGAGATTTGAGTTTCTATTTTCCTCAGAAATTTTCATCCAAATATTAAAATGAGAAACCTGGAAAAAAAATAAAAGCAGTTTTCTATGAGACAAGGGCACTTGTGATGCTGTATTGTTACTTCTAGCTATACATATTCTGCAAGGCAATGGTAATGAGACTTTTTTTCACCGGATATTATTAGTTCTTACATCTTTGTAAACTGTTTGGTGAATGAATTGTTTCATTTCTCATAAACTTAGTTATATTTATTGCTGTTTTTAGACCATGGTTGGGGGTGTAATATGGCCAGTCCCATTTTTTTTTATTTAATTAAAACAATGTTGCTGATTCAAGTAAAATACAAGGGGTATTTTGAAAACTCTGGCATCCATGGATTTGTAGCTTCCTTAGTGAAAATATTTGTTGAATTTTGTTTGTCATGGCTATTCAATATAAAGTAAATTAAGAGATAGAGTTAGGAGGGACATCTCTGAATGGATGTTATTCCTGTGGAGTAGACAAGAGTTAGGGAAACTCTTTTATTCTCTCTCTCTCTCTCTCTCTCTCTCTCTCTCTCTTTTTCTCTCTTTTTCTCTCTCTTCTATGTGTATCTAAAATGTATGTGTGTATATATATATTATATATATACTCTCCATATATACATATGCATATATAGATATAGATAGAATATATACATATTCTATTTTCTATGTATGGATATATTCTATCAATATCTATATATGGACTTGTCCAGAAGACCTGAGTTGAACTCTTTCCTCTGTCAATGAGGATGATACTTACAGCACCTCCCACACAAGGTTATTGTGAGGTTCAAGACATAATGGCACACAAAGTGCTTTTGTACAAAAGGGGGGAAAACATTGTGATTTCTTTCACAGAACAAACACAATTTCATATGGGTGAAGTCAGTTTATCATGAATATTAAATGCAGCTAGCTTCCTAGGGGAAGAGAAATCACTAAAGGGTAATAGCCTGAGGGTCTTATGGAAGGCAGAAAGACAAGCTTACATTTGCATAATGCTTTCCTATTTCTAAAGCAAGTTCCTAACAATCCTGTGAATAATCTTGTGAAGTAGAAAGTATAAAGATTATTTTTTTTCCATTTTACAGATAAAGAAACTAAGTCAGGAGGATGAGGAGCTAGATTTTCTTATCTTGTGAATGCTCTTTTAACAGCCGTAACAAGTCCTCAAATTCTTCTGAACAACTGTTCAAAAAGATCAATGAATTCTAAGACAGAAAACACCACTTTATTATTTTTATTGACAAAGGAAAAAAATGGAATAGCCAAACAAACCAATAAATGATGCATGATTTACATTTGGTTTTCTAGAATTTAAAATGGTATATAAATGAATCTAATAGTACAGATTTTGATAACACTTCAAAATAAAATGAGGCATTCTGTAAAAACTCTATTACAAAAGCCAGTGGAATTGCAAACACTACCTAACTTCTTCCTGGTAAAGTTCTTCCTACCTCATGTTTTATATTGGAACAAATCCTTTCCACATTTCCTTATAAGTCCAAAGAAAGTGATTTTTCTTTCTTCAAATTCCTTATCGTGTTTTGCCTGAGCAAATTTCCTTATATTTACAATTCATATGTGAAAAGAAATGCTGCAGGCATACAATCCAATCCCCTCAGTTTATAGTTGATGAAATTGAGGCCCACAATTTTTAAGACATTTACTCAAAGTCAAATAGACAGTAAGCATCTGAGGTAGAATTTAATCCCAGAGCTTTTGACTGCAGAACCAGGGTTTTTTCTAACATACTACATCAGCTATCTATGCACATTTCCTCCCTATTTTCAATTCAGTAATTCAATTCAATAAACATTTATTAAACATCTACTATTTGTCAGGCAAG